GGATTAAGACAACTAAGATAGATGCGGGCATAGTGGCTGACCTGTCATTAAGCTTCCGTCTGCGCGGATCTTCACAGCGGTTATCCGTCAGCCGATGCGTACCGCACCTCACTAACTGAGATCTCGCACCGACGTTGATTGTTATTATGTCACAGTAGAACTACCATTCCGGTGAACGGAAGCTTGGAACCCTCCCCCCCCTCCCGATGCCTCGTTTGTCAGCTAGACTCATTAAAGTAACGAAAACCCGCGATGGGTCTGCGTTACTACCCCTTTCCTTTCTCAATATGTAGTAGTACTTAGACTGACGGCAAATCTGCGGGCAGTGACGGAAATGGCGTAAAGCGCCTGTTTAGGCTTGTCAGTAGTTCAACTCGTCTCGTTTGAACTCCCATTTCCGTGCTCTTTTTTCCACGTGGCAATTGTTGACGTCCTCTACCGACTTATCGGTGTCGATGCGTGTGCTGAAAAACCCGTTTCTTAATGCCCAAGACATCGGTTACCCTTTAACTGACATTGAGGTGTATTTACGTAATGCTTTTTCACATTTCCCGAATTCAAGTATACTCGCCACCTTTTCTACTTCAGGCCCCACGTGTCTTCTTTTATAGCCATCTACCGAATGAGCCTGTTTTCCAGCATCGTAAGTGAGAACTTAGTTATGAAGCGTTCTCTGATTATAGTATTTCATAGTAGTTCACAATAACTTATTTTGACGTCCTAACCGTTGCTCATTTAAATAATTATCCCTTGCCTTACTGCACCAAAGCATCTCAATGATCACTGGTGTCCGTTGACCTGCAAAGTAATTCTTCATGTGTGTGAAATGCTTGACTTCTTCGCTTCAGACACCTGAGCGGTCGGAGACCACTTGGAAGCGTTTCGTGTTGCACCCTATAGAAGGCATCGGTCTCACAAGAGCATTGTTTGCAGTGAATTAGTTTTAAAATTTTCTCTAACATCAACTCATACGGCTTTGGTGTGCTATCGTTTACTTGGGCCCTGTTTAAAAATCAGTATATTAAGTAGCTGAACAAGGAAAACTGCTTTTGACTACTTTCCCGCACAAAGGTCTTTTGCCTGATTTCAGTTTTTTTGCCTTGTGGGTTCCACTTACTGTTTGTGACTCGTACCCTTTTCTTATATTAGGGCAGCCTTCTGTTGAGTCTTGAGCCTTTTTCTCTCTCTTAAAATGGTTCGGTTTCCCACTTACACGACTGTGCAACATGTCCAGACAATACTCCAGTGTCCGTTTTTACCTTCAGTACCCTCACTCTGCAGTTGAATGACTGGCTTTTGTGTCTTTCGATATTTAAAGTGAGTCCTCACTCTGCCGTGATTTATAGCATGAAAGTCCTACCAGTACGCTTGATCTTTGCAATAATACACCTAATTAAATGTACGTATTTCGTTTATTCCCTCGAGAGCACTGAACATTTTCGTCATACTTCCTGTTTCTTAGCTTTATATGCTTACTGTCCAGGGAAGAACGGATTAAATTATGTGGACTTCTGTCTATGGCGGTAGGTGACAGGTGGATAGTAATTTTCCCTCCTTATTTTCTACAACAGGGACCGGAACTTGGCGCCCTAGCGCTTCCCTTATAGCTGACCGTAACTTCATCTTCGAACTAAACGGATATATGATCATACCATTGTCTCTTGGGGCTCACTGTAGAGACGGGGCAGACAGTCGCACAGTAAGTAGTAGTAGTATATGCAGAAAGACAGTACCGACAAAGACAAACGAGACTGAGGCGGTAGTTTTGGGCTTATTGGTCGTCGTCAGCCAGTGCTACCCAAGCCTGGGTTTGCGGGACCTGAGTCTTAAACCTCGTCTTCTTCGCAACCCTAACGTTAATAAGTTAAACGCTCTACCAATGAGACACGGTCCCGTTGTCCTGTCGATTGTGATCGGT